GGGGGACCTGCTGCTCCCCGCTGCCCGCCGCCCTCTCCTCCCGCCCCCAGAACCCCTGCCCCTGCCGCTGCCCCTGGGCGCGGCTCCCAACCCCACCTGCGGTCTGTGACGGCGCCCCGAGCCGACCAAGCCCCCTTTTAAACTTATTCTATCACCCTCGCCTTCCCTCCTCGTCTTCCCCCGCCAGACCTTTCGGGGCCCCACCGGCTCTTGGTCTCCCCGGGCTGTTAGTGAGCCCCGCTGTCGTTGCGCCCCGAGCCTGCGGCCTTGCGGGTGTGTGCCCGGGAGGAGCTGGCCGGGGAGGAGCTGGCCAGGGCAGGTCAGCTACTGGGCGTGTCCTTGGCCAGCGCGAGTGCCCCCGCCTGGGGTCAGAGCGCCAGGGGACACTTCGGGAGGCGAGGCGGACTCGAGACCCGCCGCGGGTCGGCCTGAGGTCTGTGCTGGGCTCCGGCAGCAGCGCTTTCCTCGTTGCCTGTCGTGGCTGCTGCAGGCTGCAGGCTTCCTGCGGAATGCGCCCGGGGCCCTGCCTTCCGTCTCTTCTCCCGGCGTTCTTCAGCAGAGCCTCTTCCGCAAGGCCGCCTCTCTCCATCGGGCCTCCGCCAGCAGCCCTCTCCATGTGGCTCCGTTTCCTCTCGGGGCGTGCAGTTACCCCAGGACACATCGAAGCCGTGTTCCAGCACCCTCCCCGCAGGGAGCTTCCCGGACACAGTTACAGCGGCAGGAACAAGCTCTGCTCTGTCGGCGCCGTCCAGCGCCGCGGCCTCGGCGTGCAGCGTGGCTGTTTCCATCACTACGATTCTTCAAAGGGTCAAAGAGCGAGGGCCTTGGTGTGCACGGGTCAAGAGGGATGAAAGCGCTCCGGTGAATGTAAGTGAAAACGCAACCCAAATGGAGAGGCCTGTTCTCAAAAACGTTCAACCCCGCGGGTAATTCCACAGCCCGCAGCGCTGCGCCCGGCCCAGCAGCAGACGCGAGGGCTTTGAAACCAGCGCTGCCTCCGCCGCGCTCTGTGTGTGTGTGAAAATATTTGGACATTTTGACAGCTCCATTTTTGATCTCTATTGGCTGCCGCTCAAGCTGGTTAAAATGCAGCCAGGACAAAGCTCAGCAAAGATAACTCTCAGACTCTGAAAAATATACTGGGCAGGGGAGGGGGGGAGGGCCCGGCTGGGGAGGAGGGAGCCGGTGATGGCGCTGGAGTTGGCGGAGGTGAGGGAAGCAGGTGCGCGTGTCTCGGGCGACAAGCCCCCCGAAGCCACAGGCCGGCCGCTGGCCAGGAGCTCTCTCCACCTGCTCGGATCACCCTCCCGTGCGTCCTGGCTTAACCCTCCAAAATCTGCCTTCCTATTGCTGGGGACGCTGAGAGCCCAGACATTTAGGATGGACAGACTCACAAGGACACGGTCCAGAGGTGGGGGGAGGGAGCCAGCTGTGGACCCTTGCAGGAGACCAAGGTGAGCTCAGAAAAGATTATCAGCCAGAGGTGGGGGCAGTCACAGAAGACAAGTCACCGGACCCCCAGGCACCAAGCCCAGGGGAATCCATGGGGCGCCCCTCACCCTGGCTCCGTGCCCGCCTGTGTCCCCAGGTGCTCTTTCTTTTCCTTTCGTCAATGAACGTCCGTGTGCGGAGGAGCAGGAACGGCTGCTGAATGCTTTCTCTGAAGGACCCAAGAACCCCACACACCAAACCCCGTCATCTGAACCCCAATATCATCACCCCGCACAGGTGAGGCTCCCACAGGCGAGGCTCTGAGCCGACAGCCTCCAGGGCAGCCTCAGGGTGGCACCACCAGGCTGGGGGTGGCAGTGGAGCAGGCACCCCAGGCACCCCGGAACGGAGCCAGGGCAGACGACAGGCCACTCCCCAGGCAGGCTGAGGCTCGGGGCACCCGCTGGGCGGCACACCGGCCCGGGCCCTAACTCACGTGTCTCATCCACGCCGCAGCCTGGGACATAAACGGGCACACCCGGCCCGAGAGGAGGCAGCTAGCGAGGGCACTGTAGGTGGGCCCCAGCATGCCCAAGAGGCTCCAGGGCCCCAGGCCTTTCCAGCGACCCCCATAGAAATGGTGGGAGGGGTGGCCGGAGGGGCAGCTGACCCTGGCCACATCCCCAAGCCCAGGCTTCCTGCCAGGCCACACGGGCCCAGCTGGGGGCGGGGCACGGTGTTGGGGAGAGGGACTCCCAGCTTGGCCCCACCCAGCAACTCTGAGGGGCACTCCCCCGGCGCCTCTCCCCCACAGCCCAGCCTCCTCGGGAAGCCGCCCAGAAAAGGAGGAGGAGGAAGTTCATTTCCTGAGCAGGCTTGGAAAGGGGGGGGCTCAGCCAGGGTCCACGTGGCAGCCTCTGCGCTGGCCTGGCCGGGCAGGCTCCCGGGCGGGGAGGGCTCATGGGATAAAATGGCCCCCTCCTCCACGCTGGCCCCCAGGTGCCTTCCCTTGTGCCCTTCTCAAAGACTCCCCTCCTCTGCTCCCGAGACAGGGAAAGGGGCCCCCAGAAGCCAGCCAGGATGGGGGCCAGGAGGTGCCTGCCATCGCAGGAGAAGGCTCCCCTGGCTCCCCCGCTCCCCGGCTGGTGTGCGTGGCGGTCCTCCGGGCGGGGGCAGAGGACCAGGCGTGCGTGTCTGCTTTGGCTCCGTGCAGAGAGGCTCACGCACAGTCAGGAGGAAGGACTACTTGGGAAGGAGACCAAAGCGGGGTTTGTGGGGGGACTGCCCCATGGACCATCAGAGAAGGCCCTGCTGGAAGTGGACATTAGCGAGGACGGCCAGGCAGAGATGCTGGGGCGTCTGGGAAGAGCCCGGTGAGGAGGCACAATGCAAAGGCCCTGAGGCAGGCGTCGGGGGGGGGGGTGGCTCAGAGGCGCAGGGAGGACAGTGAACCCCACCCTCTCCCCACGCCTGCCTCTGTGCATGGGCTCCTCCCAGCCAGATGGGGGTCTCAGAGGCACCAGCCATCCCCACCCTGGGGAGGTCACCGTGAGTGGGGCGGGGTCGCCCAGCTCAGCCTCATGCATGAAGTTCCTCCCGGCCGGCCGTCTGCGGGCATCGGGCATTTGTGGGGCCCCCCACGAGGACCAGGCAGATGCTGACTGGCCCTGGGAGCTTGTCCGCCGAGGCCCTGTGAGGTGCTCCAGCTGTTGCTGGTCATGCACCAGAGGCCCTTCTGGGGGGCCTGGAAGATGGAGCCCGCAGTGTCTGCAGACCTGGGGCGAGGCTGCATTTCCGGCCACTCTGCCTAGACGCCGTGGTCAAGGGGAGGGCAGGGCCCCTGCGTGGGAGGGGACACCTCTCACGGGGCACCCAGGGCCCTATCTCACGGGTGAAAGGGGGCCTGGGCGGTTCTGCCAGTTCTCCCTCCGCGCCCATCTCTCCTCCGCCTTGTTGGCCATGGCCCAGGAGGTGTGAGGGCTGCGCTGACGGGGGGGCCCAGGACAGAGCACGGGGCCATGCACAGCCCAGAGGGAGGCCAGCCGCCCCCCAGGGGGAGGTCCCCGTCCTCCAGTCACACAGCTCCCAGGTGCTCCCCCAAGCCCAGCGTCGCTGGAAGGCAGCAGCAGATCTCCACGAGAGCGCCCTGCTCTGTCCTCGGTGCTCCACGCACTGTGCTCCACCCCCAGGCTCTGCCATCACCAGGCGTGCCCGCTCCCTGTTTTTCCAGCCCAGGACCCCCTCAGCCCCAGGCGGCCTCTGTCCGGGGCCCCGCCCCACCCTGCGGAGGCGCTTCAGGGAGGGGGAGGTCTCCAGAGCTCTGGGGCCCAGACCAGGCCAGTCACGCCACGTGGCCACTGCTGCAGGGGCCACAGCCGCCGTCTGCCCAGCTGCTGTGTTCACCCAGGCGAATCAGCCCCGCACCCCCACCCCTCACCCCACCCCACACCCCAGCCCGGCCCAGCCGGCCCAGCCGCCAGGGCGCGGGGCACCGCAGCTCCCAGAAGTTCAGGAAACAGAACACTGGGGTGGGGGTGGGGGTAGGAGGGCCGGAGGGCCGAGTGGGGAGGGGGACAGATGGAGTGGGGGGGAACAGGCAGGAGGGACGGAGGGTGGGAGGCAGGGAGGGCGTGGGGCGAGGCTTGCAGGGGGCGGCCGGGCCCCCTCCAGGCCAAGACAAGTCAGCTGGAGCCCCAGCCTGTCCCGCCAGGCACGCCCCTCCGGCCCCGCCCGCGCCCCCGCCCGGAGGGCAGCGCCAGTCCTGTGGGCGAGAGCGGCGGCTTATTTTCCGAGATGGCTGGGGCGACGCGCGGACGCGTGTTCCGCGGCTCGGCCGCTCTCTCGCCCTGGCGCTTCGGGCCTGGCCCGCTCCCAGGGCCGGACCCGCCCACCCCACGGGCAGGAGAGGACAGCCCGCCCTCTCCCAGTGGCCTCCTTTCGGGGCCAAGATACACCTCCCAGGCATTTGTTTCTGCAGTTGCTAAACAGCAGCCCCAGCACTGGGTGGGCCGCTCGGCCCCTGCGCAGACGTCCCGGGCCAGCGAGGGGCCCGGTCAGCTGCAGCGAGCCTCCTGGTGCGGGGGAGAGGCCCAGAGAGCCCAGGAGCTTGCCCGCACCTCAGAGCAAGTGGCCGAGCTGGGTCATGGCCATCTCTAACGGGGGGGGGGGGCACAGAGGGCCCCTAAGCACCCCCCATCTTTAAATGAAAACAACAGGCTGGTCCTAACAGGCAGCACTTAGCGCCTGAAGCACCTGGCCTGGCTGGGGCCTGACTCAGGGGCGGCAGGAGTCCTTGGCCCCTCCGGGAAAGGCGCTGGTGCCCTGCGGGGCTCTGCGGGGCAGGCACAGGGCGGCCACCAAAATGAGCCAGAGGCAGGGGGCAGGGTGGGGGGCGTCAAGAGAGGCAGTGGCTCTGGTTCCAGCCCTGGCCCCCAGAGGCCAGCAAGCTCCCCTCCCTGTCCAGGAGGCCTGAAGACGGCCCCGCAGGGCCCAGACCCTGGCGCCCTCCACCCTGGCCCGGGCGTGGAGTCCTCAGTCACAAGGCGTAGTAGGGAATCCCCCGCGCTCACCTGCTGGGGCGCCCTGCCTCTCCCCACGGTGCACCACAGCCATCTTCAGCCTCACCCCAGTGCCCCACAAGGACATTTTCCAGCACGGGACAGAAAATGCCCCTGTGGGCCCCCAGGGGCTGAGACCACCATCTTAGGTCTCTGTTGACTGAAAAACAACAGCCGCCGCTGCAGGGGGAGGGCCTCCCCTTGGGAGCCAAGGACGAGAGCCGGCCTGGGGACAGCGCCTGCCCGCTGAGGCGGCCTGGCCAGCCGCTGGGCAGCCCCCAAGGCCCGGCCAGCTGGGCGCCGGCCTCGCGTGCGGAGGCGGCACTGGGGCGTCCTCCGCTGGGGCAGGGGCGCAAGCCCTGGGGGTGCGCTCCACCCTGGAGGGTGTCCTTGTCCTTGGTGCCATGTGGGCTGGCCTCTCGCCGCGGGCAGCAGCGGCTCAGCTGGGGGCTGCTCCGTGCCGGAGTCTCGGCGCGGTGACTGGCGCATGTTCTCTGCTCCTGGCCCCAAGGGGGAGGCCGAGACCAGGGAGAAGCCACCGTGGCCAGGGCTCAGGGCAGGCCATGCCAGCGACAGGGTCTTCCTTCCTCCTACCTGGCCCGTCGCCCCCAGGACCCCCACCTCCTGCACCCCGACTCCACCACCGCGACGCCCAAGGTGACGTGAGGCCAAATGGCCAAATGGCTATGCTGGCCGGCCTGGGGCCCCACGGAGGCCATGGCCCGGGAGGCAGAGGACAGTGCCCTGAGCTCCGGGGGTCCCGGGGAGGCGCTGACCCCAGTCACAGGTCTCCGGGGCTCGGGCTGCACTGGGGGAGGCGGGAGCAGAGGGAGGAGGGCGGGAAGCTGGAAGCCAGGACCGCGGGGCTCGGGGCCCAGGGCAGCCGCAAGCAGGAGGGCCGGACCTGACCACAGAGAGAGGCCTGGCCCGGGCTGGGGTGGGGTGCTGGTGACGGGAGCTGCAGGGGAGCCCTTGCTGCTCTGCAGACTCCAAGGGACGGGACATGCTCACAGGAGGGGACCCCACGTGGAGGCAGCTCGATGGGGGCTCAGGGCACCTGCGCCTTCCAAAGCGAAGGGCCTGCCCTCCCGGAGAACCCGGGTCCTCTTTAAACTCTCCGCTTGTCTTTCCATGAAAGGCTGCGCGGAGTAGCGGGCGGAGGGCTGTTGCTGTGGGGTGTCTGGGACAGCCTGCAACGGGCCAGCTGCACACACAGGTCTTCTGGGGGGCAGGGGGGCAGCATGCCCCTGGCGGACCCAGTCCCTCCTCCTCACCGCCAGCGCCCTGTCCACAGTCGATCCGACCCGCTCGCCGGGCTGGCGGCCGCTGGCTGGGCGGTCTTGGCTGGCTTGTTTACTGTCAAGTTGTTCTAAAGGTTTATTTTTTCCCTTGCTCCCACAAAATTGATGCCCTCATTCTTCAGGCTGTTGTCGGTCTTCAGGCAGAAAAGCGCACTCAGGGGCCTCTCTGCTTGCCTGGCCGGTCTGTGAGAGGAGGTAGCGGCCACCATAAAGAGGCAGAAACCACTGGAAGCCCAGGAGCCCAGGCGTCCTGCCTTCTCATGACTGCACGCCCCAGGCGAGAGGCGGTGGCCGTGCCCGGCGGGCGGGGCTGCCCGCTCCCGTGCCCCCACCTGCCCCCGCCTCCTCCCCCAGGCCCTGCGGGCCTCCCCAGGCTGGCGGGCCATTATCCCACACGTGCCAATGGACCGCTCCCAGCTTCTCCTCCGGCCACAGCCACTGACCACAGCTTGCGGCCAGGAAGCCAGGGCCCTCCTCAGCTCTGTCCTCCTGTCCCTCTCCGTTCCTGTAGCCCAGCGCAGCCTGGCTGTGGGGGGCCGAGGCGCAGAGGTGGCGCACAGCCTGGCTCGGAGCAGGTTGCAGCTGCCCCCCAGCCCTGCCCTGTTTGGCCCCCCGTCCCCACTGCTACTCTGAAATGAGACGCAGCTTCCCGACAAGGAGCAGGGTGGGCTCCTTGTCCTCCCATGTGACAAGCGAGTAAACTGAGGCTGAGCTCAGGGACGCGCCCCCAGCCACACACACTCTTAGTGGGCACCGCTGTGCTGTGCCTCCTGCCCCAGGCCAGGCCCAGAGTCCTGTCCTGCACCAGATGACAAGCAAGACCTCAGCCCCCAAGCTGCCCGGAGCCTGGTTCTCTCCAGCCTCTCTCAGAGCCCAAGAGCCGGGCACCCACCGCCCAGGTCAGCACAACCCCCTCCCATCCCAGCCTGGGCCTGGCCCTGCAGACAAGGGACAGCCTCAGGCCCTGGCTGTCCAGGAGACAAGATTCCTGTTCAGGAAAACGCAGGAGACATGCCAGACGCAGCTGAAGCCAAGAACAAAGCCTGGGTGGGCAGGGGTGGCTCAGGAGGGCTTCCTGGAGGAGGAAGTGGACCAGAGATGGTCACGGGCTTCCCTGCTGGACCCCAGGGCCTTGTTGCCAAGACTCGGGGTGATTCCCTAGCCTGCATCCGTGCCCAGCGAGGGGGGCCCCCGCCAGGTGGAGACATGCCTGGCCGCGCCAGAGAGCCACAGGCCGCAGCTCTGTCCCTTCCCGGGCCCCGGAGGTCATCTCCCAGGGATGTGGGCTCCCCCCGCAGCTGGGCCTCCAGGGGAGAAGTAGCCGCGGGGGGCCAGGCTGGTAGGTGCCGCGGGGCTCCTGGCAGGGTCCAGAGCGGCTGCCTCAGAAGTCAGAGCTGTCAGTGGCCCCAGGACGCGTCACTTCCATCCCTGCTTTTCTGCAGTCCCGGGGGTCACCGCGAACCTCGCTGCCCTGCCTCCCTGGGAGGAGTCACCGGCTCAGCACCGTCTGCTCGTAGCCGGACCCTTGACAGCCACAGTCAGGTCTCGCCCGAAACCCCGCCGCCCCGGCAGGAGGAGGGCAGGTGCTGGTCGGGCGGCCCAGGCCAGAGCGCTGGCCTGACCCGCCCGGTGCCCTCCCAGCCCAGCCGCTGCCAAGGCCCAGCGGGCGGTGGGAGGGACCAGGCTCTGCTCAGAGGAGAGCCAACAGCTACTTTCCACGGAAAATATGTCTTCAGACCCCCAGAGGCTGGGAGGCCGGCGTGACTCAAGGCTCTGCGGCTGAGTCGCGTCCCAGACAGGCGGCTGCCCCCTCCCCACGAGCTCCCCGCAGGCCCGGGCTCCACAGCCAGGCCGGGGAAGGCGGCAAGGGCGGGGCCCCCACCACAGCGTGGAAAGGAGGCCGGGGTGGGCTCCAGCTAGACCCCTGAGTGCACGGGGTCTGCTCAGGGGAGCCCCAGCGTGTGCTCCGGCCAGATCCTCGCCTTTAGGCTGGGTAGTCAGCTGCTCAGGACGCTGGCGGGGGCCCCCCTGAGGTCCTTTGTGGTGTGGGGTGCGGGCTTCTGTTATGAGGACACTGCTGTGGCTGAACATGGGGGACACTGGGCCTGTGCACGCTCGAGGCTGGGGGATGTGGCCGCACCGCTCTGGAGTGGGAGTCGGCCCTGCAGGCCCCTGGCTCCAGGCTGGGGGCCCGGTCAGGCCACAGGGGGCAGTGCTTGCCCTGACCTGGCGGCCTGAGTGCCACGGGGAGTCCTTGGGATCCTGGGGTGTCAGCCTCCTTCCCGGACCATCCGGGCCACCACATCTGCTCCTACTATGTCCCAGGGGGTGCGCACTCTGGGGGACCCTCTCTGGAGGTGCCAGGACATGCCAGGTCCTGACTTGGTGGACAAAACGGCCCCAGGGCAGGTGGGACAGGCTGGGCTGCCCCACCGTGAGGGATGAGCCTGGGCGCCACGCTGCAGGGCAGGCTAGAAAGTGGTGGAGTTGGGGTCTGCTGCAAGTGGGGAGCCCTGGGGGCTGAGCCACCCCCGGCAGCTCCAAAGGGACCCGCCCAGACCCGGGAGCCCACCCAGTTGCAAAGGCTCAAGCTCAGGAGTTGCTGCGGGACCCTGAGTCCAGCAGGGAGGGCAGAGCCTGGGATGGGGGAGGAGCCCCGTGGACCCCCAGCTCTTCCCGAATTGGGGTGGCCGCCGGCCGGATCAGACCAGTGCCGGAGACCAGACGGGCAGTCAGTCCAGGCCGGCCCCGGCCCCACGTCCGCCCTCCCCAGCGGCCGCGGACGGCCCGGCGGGGGCCCTCGTGCTGTCCCCCCGCCGCGGCCGCACAGCCCTGACGTCAGCCCGGCTGGCGTGAGCCTCGGCGGCTGCGCAGTTGTCTCTGCAAAGTGGAATCAGATGGTCTTTCCAGGCCTCCCGCCCGCCGCCCCCTCGCGCGCCTGCCCTTGCTCTGTTCCCTGGCCCGCGTCCAGGCCTTCCTGCAGCAGCCCTCCACGAGCTCGCGGAGAGCAGCGCGGGCCGCTTCCTGCCGGCCGCCGACGTGGCAGGGCGGGGCGGGCGGGCTCGGCGGCGGCGCTGGACCCGCCGCGCCTCCCTGGGTGCCCGGCCCTGGCCCGCGATGGAGGCCGTGCCCCGAGGGTGGGCAGGGCAGGGCCGGGCGGGCTGCAGGCTCCTCTGCCCTGGGGTGACCCCGCTGCTCGCCGGTGTGCCTGTGACCGAGGGAAGCTGCTGCTCAGGAAGCAAAGCGGGCCCGCGAGGGCAGAGGGACACTCTGCTGCCACAGCCTGGGCCACCCCCCCGGCCAGCGCCCAGCTCTTTGTAGCAATTTTTGGGAGATCCCTGGTGCTGGTCGGGCGGCCCAGGCCAGAGCGCTGGTCTGACGCGCCCGGTGCTTTTTATGAGCACGGCAGCTTTCCCCACAGGCCCCTGGGGACAGTATTTGGTGTGGGGGAGTCTGAGCAGCCCCCCAGGACCCTAAACAAGAGACTCCGGGTAGACCCAAGGCAGGCAGCAGGAAGCCCCCAGCACCTCTTCTCTGACCCAGTTTGGTGAAAGTTCTGGAAGCTCATAGCACATGCACAGCAGCACCCGCCCGTGCAACACCGTCCAGTGTCGGCTCCACACGCCCGGCTCCCGCCTCCCTGGCTTAGCTGGAGAATTGGGTCCAGGGGGTGGGGGGGCGCCTCCAGCGGCGCCCTCTAGGGGAGAAGGGAGGTAAGTGAAGCGCAGGCCGCTGCTGGGCCGGTGTGGTGAGGGACCTCTGACCCCACTGCCAGCGAAGGTTGGGGGGGGGGCTGCCTCCTAAGGGCAATCAAGAATCATCCAGAAGGTTCTCAGCCTTGTCCCTGCACCCCACAAGATGCTCAGGCAAGAACATGGCCTGCCCAC